CCCCCCCCAGAACGGTTACTGCCACTACAACCAGTCGGAGCTGGTGGCCCCGCTCAGCGGCTACGTCACTGTGGAGCCAGGCAATGCTGAAGCTCTGAAAGCTGCACTGTTCAAGCACGGCCCTGTAGCTGTCAACATCGATGCCTCACACAAGTCTTTCACCTTCTATGCCAACGGGGTCTACGAGGAGCCCCACTGTGGTGAGGGGGGTGGTGGAACCCGTTGGAGATGATGGAAATGAGGACGGATGGAGATGGGGATGATGGGGGTCGGTGGATAGGTGGCGATGGGGATGGGTGGAGATGGGCACAGGGATGTCTTTTTTCTGTTTTCCTTGCAGGGAATGAGACGTCAGAGCTGGACCACGCAGTGCTGGCTGTGGGCTACGGCGTCCTGCATGGCAAGAGCTACTGGCTCATCAAGAACTCCTGGTCCACCTACTGGGGCAACGATGGCTACATCCTTATGGCCATGAAGGACAACAACTGCGGCGTGGCCACTGCTGCCTCCCTCCCCATCCTGGCCTGATGGGATGATGGAGAGCCCCATGCAGGCACTGTCCCCACTGTGCCCCTCTATGCAGGCAAGGGGAAAGCAGAGGGACACGGGGCTCTGCAAGGTGGCTGTGGGGTGGAGGAGGGCAGCCCTACTGGGAGGGCAGACGATGCTCTGTGGAGGTACTTTATCAACACAGCAATAAACATCTATAGAGAAGCGACCCCATCCATCCTGCTGGCTGTGCTCTGTCACCCTTAGCCCACCCGTGATGCCCATCCCCTACACCCGACGGCATCCCCCTGCATCTGTGCTCATGCATGGGCTGCATCCTCCCAAAATGGTGGCAGAGAGCAACAGCTACACCCCCATTGTGCCCAGCAAATGGCCCGGGGAGCTGCTGTGCTCCCTCACCACGCAGCCACATCCTTCCCTGATTGCTCCCGATTGAGGGTGGCAGGTCATAATATTTTCTTGTTTTCCTTCCCTTGTTCACCTGCTTATTTTACAATTTGCTGCACTGATTTCTGAAGTGGTCTTTAATCATTCCCAGCAGGGGTGCTGACTCGAATTCACGTCTGGGAGAGAAACGATCACCGTGCAGGAATAATGTGGTTTATTCCGTGGGAGTCTGGGTCTCCAGATCTTTGATTCTCTCGGCTGCAGTCAATAAAACACGCTTTGACTTTCAGGGAACCGTGACTTTCAGGCTCCCTTTGGATGGGTGATGCTGTGAATTTGCTGCTGAACACGCAGGAGGCTCTGGGAGCTGCAGGCTGTGCACCCCCAGAAGCATTTATCAGGAGCTGAAAATCTTGCATGTGTGGCAGTGGGGAAAGCAGAGGCTCCAAGTGGGGGTTGTTGAGCAGGGATGGGACTTTAAATTAAGGTCGGTTTGTTTTCTTTGGAAAAGGATTTAGGGATGGAGGTGTCTGAGAAGAGGTCTGCTGCTGCAGAACCGCCATCCCAGAGCAGTTCTGGGGGAAACGCCCTGGATTTGGTACTGGGTGGTGAAACAGAGCTGAGCTCGGTGTGCTTCGAAGGCAGTGAGTGCTGTCCTGTGCATGAAATGTGATTTCACCCCCCTCCATCCAGCCCCACAGCATTACCTGGTGCCTGTAACCGCACTGCTGCAGAAGCAAAAGGTGAGACGTGGGGTGGCAGGCTGTCCTTTGGCACCGTGGGTCCTCACACACCCAGCCACGTGAGCACGCATGGCTGGGGAGCAGAGGGCTCTGAGCTTCTCCTCTCATCTCAGCAAGGACCGTTTCCACTCTGCCAAGCCAGAAGAGGCAGAGCAGGACTTTGTGGTACACTTCCAGTAGGGCTGGCAGCCTCCTGGCTGCCCCTCTGTGACCCCAGGCCGTGCGCCACCACAGCGTCCCCACAACAAGGACACAAACCTGGGGGGGGACGATCCCGGCTCCACGCTGGGCTCTGACCCACGCGCTCTGAGCCCTGTGCTGGCTGAGACATGGAGCGAGATGAAACAGCACAGCCCTCAAACAACACCCCTCCCACACTGCGAGGCTGTTTTGTTCCAGCAAAATGTGCATTCTGCGGGTGAGAGCATCCAGATCTGCAGGATCAATCTGTCCACACGTCCAGAAACTCGGGGCGGGCTGCGTCTGCCAAGGTAAACGATCCCCCGAGGGAGGGAGGTGGGGATTTCAGCTGGGTTTGCTTCGCGCCCTGCCCTGGGCTGTGCTGGATGCTGCATTTCCCTCCAGAGACAGCTGTGCTCCGGCACGGACCTCTGTGCAGCAATGCCAGGTGGCCACAAAACACTCTCCAGCCCCAAAGCTGGCTGCCTTTCAGCGCCGGATGAATTATCTGTGAAAACCTCTGGTGGCTCGCACAAAACAAGGTAATTATTCAGAAAGCAGGGGGACACGGAGAGAGCCAGCATCTGAAAATATTATCTGTGAGTGATTTAGAGAACCACAGGCAGAGCCGGAGAACAGCAGCTGGATCAAAGCGGGTTTGGCAATTCCTTGGCTCCCAGATGCTCCATCCGAGAGGGGCTGTCATGAACTCCCAGTTGGGGTCAGGGCTCCTCGGGTCGCTCTGCAGCCAGCAGGACATGTGTTGCACAGCCCTTTGGCTTTCTGATGACAAAGCGTACGATTCGGGGCTGAAAAGCTTGCTTTTGGCCACAGAAACCACAGCATTTGGGGGCACAAGTGATCGTGTCCAGAAAGACCTAAGCGATTGCAAGAGCTCTGCAAGACAGTTTGCTCAAAGCTGCTTTGCTGCTAATGAGGCTATGCTGGAAAATCACTGAGGCAGTGGCTTTTTAAACGTTTCTTCTTACACTTCCCTCAGTAGCAGCTTTACAAACCCTCTTCCTTAGCCAAACGTCCTTCCCTTGGCGACTGTGACGGCTCTGGCAGGTTTGTTGTTCTAAAATGAACCGCTCCTCTTGCTCAGCTCGAGAGATTCGCAGCCCACCCCTCTCCCTCCACACTTTTCGGAGGTTTCATTCCTTGTAACGAACCGCTCGTGGCATTTATGTTTTCCAGGTGTGCTGTCAAACCCCTCCGGAAGTCCTCCTCCACCTCCACCCCATTTCCCTAAGAAACCATTCTCAGAGCATCCCAGCCCCCTGGGCAACGAGGAGGGTTTTGTTTCACGCTACCCACCGCCTCTGCCAAGCTCTGCCTTCTGCTCTCACCCACCGCTATTTCCCAATCACCATCCAGCACGCAGCACAGTGCAACAAATTTCATGAAATCAAGTATTTCTCCTACACACGGCATATTTGCCCGGTGATTATAACTGGTCCCCGAGGTAGCCAAGCACAGCAGAATTTCAGTTTAATATGCACACCCACGCAGCCTTGCTAAAAACCCAAGACACTCCCCCGGTCCTTCTCGGGAAAGGCTGAGCACTGCGGTGAGCATCTCCTATTTCAGCTTCACCGCTTGCACGAACCACGACTGGGAATACTCTGTGAGCCACCGTACAGGGAACAAAAAGGTGGGGAAATGAAGTTTCCCAAAGATTTCCAGGTATCCCCGATGGCCCAACAGTGAGAGGGGTTTGAGAACTCAGGGATGTCAGACAGCACAGACACACAGACCGGATCACACACAGGAACCGGATCACGCCGCTGTGCCTTTATGAACACAACCACCAGTAGTTGCTGCTTTATGTGCTTAATTTGTCTTGGATTTAGAGTGAACTTTTAACTCCAAAGCGCTTTAATTCCCTCATTTGTTTGGGCAGGCAGCAGGGCTGTACGTTCGTTCGCAGCACCTGTGAATGTCACACTGTAAAAATGACAAAGACTCCATTTAAAACACAGAGCAATTCCCCACTGTTTGCACAGCAGATGGTTTACCCTCACCTCACACCCAGAGCAAAACAGAGGCAATTTTCCCAACGGCGCAAGCTGCAAACCGCAGCACCCAACCTGGGGTGTAAACACAGCAAGCTGCAATTTGCATTGCCGATCCTGCCCCAAACGTGAGGAGATCCGCCCCCACAGATCACAGCTTGCTGTGGCTGTGCCTGGGGCTTGCAGATGTGCAACTGCCCTCACAGCAACCACCGACTTCTGCAGTTGGTGCAAAAAGGGAAACAACCCTGCGAGAAAGTTCTCCTTTTGCTGCAGATGCCACCTCCTGCCTCACTCTCCCTTCCTTTTCCTCCAATTCGTACATCTGACCCTTTAGGCACAGCTGCGGCTGCACTACAGCAGCCACCAGCCATCTCCCAGCTCTACTTTCAGGCTGAGCGACCCTGCAGCCTCCTGCTCTTTCCTCCTCTAGCCCTCACTCTCCCTCAGCACCCCACGGCCCGAGCCCTCCTCTCCCATCCTCACACAGGACAGCTATGGCTCTCACTGATCCCTGGTGATGCCCTTCCCCATTCTTCAGCCCTCAGTCCGGTCTCGGCCCTGCCCTCGTCTCTGGGCAGACCCAGACCCAGACTGAGAACCAGGCCCTGTTTCCTGCCGTCACCCTCCTCCAGCTTTTGCACATGCTGGCTCCTGGCCAGGCCGGCCTAGCTCAGCTCCTGCACTCAGCCCAAGCCCGGCCCAGCTCACTCCTCGCCCGCATCCCTGCGCTCACGCAGGCCCTGCCCACCCTCTGCCCTCAACCCCATCCGCCCCAATTCCACTTCCGCTTCCGGTTCCCCTCCCCCACCCCCACCCCCAACCCGCGCAATGCCTTCTGGGTCGCCCCCGCCCGTCGCGCTCTCGCGCGACCTCCCCGTCGCCCCGCGCGCGCCCCCGCGGCGGTTACATCACAGTAACGCGCCCCGCGTGACGTCAGCGTTCCTCTCCCTTTCCCCAACGCCCGCGGAGGGGAAAGGGCGGAGGGGAGGGGAGGAGGCGGCTCCGCCCCGCCCCATTTCTAGAACGACGTCTGCGCGAACCAATGAAAAACCGGATCGCCGTGAGCGATGCGGAAAGCAGCCAATGAGAGAGGCGGAACGGTCGGCGGGGGGGTGGAGCCAGAGGGCGGGAGGCCGCGGCGGTTTGGGCTGCGCCTGTCAGCGCGGCGGCGGGATGGCGGCGCTGTACGCCTGCACCAAGTGCCACCAGCGCTTCCCCTTCGAGGCGCTCAGCCAGGGCCAGCAGCTCTGCAAGGTCCGGGGGACGGCCGGCAGCGGGGGGAGCGGCTGGGGCTGAGGGTCACGGAGTTAAAGGCTGGGGGGCCTCTGAGGGAAAGGCGTGTTTAGGGGGGGAGGGGGGAAGGTAAAAGGGGATCCTGAGGTAAAATGGGGGTGGGAGGACTAAGGTGGGGGGGGGGGGGGGGTTAGGTGTAAAGGCTGTGAGGTAAGGATGTGGGGAGGCTTCTGAGGTGAAGTCGGGGGGTACTGAAGGAAAAGGGGGATCCTGAGGTAAAGCGGGCGTGATTTTTTGGTAGAGGGGGCGCTGTGAAGGAAATGGGGATGTCCTGAGGTGAACTGGGGGTCCTGAGGTGAGGGGGAGGGGGGGCCTTGAGATGAATTGGGAGTCCTGAGGTGAAGGTGAGGGGGAGTCCTGAGGTGAACTGGGGGTCGTGAGGTGAATTATGGGGCCCTGAGGATAGAGAGGCACATCTGAGAGAGAGGAGGGGGGTCCCTGAGTTGAAGAGGGGTTCCTGAGGTAAATTGGGGTGGAGAGATCTGAGGTAAAGTGGGGGTGGTTCAGGTGTAGAATTGGAAGGGTTCTGAGGGGAAGTGGGGCATCCTGAGGTGAAGTGGGAGGGTACTGAAGCAGAGAGGAGGTGTGGAGGAAAACTGGGGGGGTCCTGGGGGTAACGGAGGTGCCTCTGAAGAAAAGTGAGGAGTGCAGAGGTAAGGGGGGGGATCCTGAGGGAAAGTGGGAGTGGGTCTTGGTGTTCAGGTGGGAGGCCTTTGGGGGGAGGTTCTTGAGGTAAGTTGAGGGGTCTTGAGGAAAAGTGAGCGGGGGTGGGGCAGCAGGGATGTTGTGTTTGAATGAGGGCAGCTGGGAGGGGATTTGGGGACACTTAGAGGGCTGCTTGGGAGGAGGCCCTTGGGGGCTTCTAGGGTGGCTGAAATCTTGGATTTGGGGGCATTTTGGGACTCATCAAGAAGTATAGTAGGGGGGCTTGGGGTGAATGGAAGTGGCCGTGGGGGTGGGGTCATGGGGGCATTTGGGGAAAGATAGGGGTGAGGGGGCAGTTGGGGGAGCCTGGGGACTTGGGGATGTGGGGTTGGGAGATAATGAGGGGCTGTTCCTTGGGGAAACTGGAAAGCACCGAAGGCTGTTTAGGGGTGTGGGAGCATTTGGGAGGGAGTCACAAAGCTGTTGGGAGGATGTTTGGGGCTTGTTTGGGGCTTATTTGGGGGGTTGTGGGGGGCTGGGAGCTGTGGGTCACTGGAGGCTCCTTGTGGCATCTGGGGGCTCCTTGTGGCCTTGCGGGTACTGAGTGGACACTTGAGTCAGAAGGCCTGGGGACATCAGAAGGGCTGCTTGAGAGGGTGGCTCATAGCAAGACCAGAGGCATGGGGCGGCCCAAGGTGTTTGTGGGGAGTCTGGGGACATTTAGGGGCAGCTTTTATGGTATCTTGAAGGGGGGAGATAAATCTTGGGAGGCAACCTGAGTGGGGAAGAATGAGAACAGGGGTGAGACGGAGAAGGGGGAGAACATGGAATGGAGCACCGTGGGGTGGGGACACATGACGGGGATGGGGCAATTCAGGCAGGTGGAGGGAAACCTCCTGAGTGTGCTGGGGAGAGAAGAGAGCTGAGCTGGAGACGCTCTGGGCACAGGAAGCTTTGGAGAGCAGGGAGGTGAATAGCTGTGATAGGACTGCGTGTTCTGCACCGGAGGTGAGGCCAGCAGTGAGCTTCGTCTGTGGGCGTTGGGCACAAATGGCCCTTGTTACAAATCACGGTTTACTTCTGGGTCACCTGTGACACACGGCTTTCCTGTCAGCCTTCCTCTGCTCTCAGCCCTTCTAAGAGCAGCCGTGACTACAGGGAGGAAACGTGTGGAGTTTGATGGGTGTGGGTGCGTGTGGTGGGAGCGCGGGTCAGCGGGGGAGCTGGGCTGTGGGGAAATGACGTGTGGGAGGAGCAGCGCGCCTCACAGCATGCTGTGTTGTTGCAGGAGTGCCGGATCGCACATCCCATCGTTAAATGCACCTACTGCAGGACTGAATTCCAGCAGGAAAGGTAAATGACCGGCATGCTGAGCAGCCTGATGTTTTCCCTAGGACGGACGCACCTGGCGAACCGTAATGTGCCCACACCTTTGATGGCTGAGCCTGGTTGTTGTTGTGGGAGACCTTTGGCCTTAAACGTCTGCTGGGCGAGCCAGTGTGCCTGTGCAGTGTGCTTACATGTGCACCTATCGCTTGTTCTTTGGTTTGGTCAGCACTCGCCAGCATCTTCCAGTAAAGGATCTGGGGGGGATCTTCCCATGAGTTTTCTGCTACCTGATTCTGGTGTCTAAAAATCGTTTGATACGCTTCCTGTAGCTGCAGTTCTACCTTTTGTGAGTTGTGTGGATTACAGAGGGAGGAGAGGTGAACCCGGGAGCTGACGAGCATAACTTGTGCAGACACAGCGTGGGGTGTTCTTTCCTGTGTTTGTTGGACAAATATACCTCTGTGCCTGACCTGCCTTAACCCTGTAATCGAGCACAGACCTCCTCCAGAAGTGAGGCTGTCACTGTGCTGAATCATGCCTGCTGCCAATTAGCCAGTGATCAGACGCCCGCATTTGGCAGGACGAAAAAACTGGCGTCATTTGGGGATGCCTTAATTAAAAGATACCTCCTAGTAAAACTGCTTTTGGCCAAGTATCCTCAACCAGATGGGAAGAGGAAATGCACTTTGGTGTCAGGGTCCATAGTGAAGATGAATGCAGTCTTGCCACTAGAGACAGAGCCTGGGGGAGCCTGGGATCCTGACCACAGAGGTGTAGTTTTCTCTGGGGAGGCCTTAATGACACGGTCTGTCCTTCTTCACAGCAAAACCAACACAATATGCAAGAAGTGTGCTCAGAACGTGAAGCTCTATGGCACAGTAAGTGAGTGGGGCTCGTTCTCAGCCTCTTTCTCCTTTCATCTTTCTTGCCTTAATCCTGCTGACTCCCAAAGCAGTTTATGGGCTGGCTCGGTTGTAATAGCATAGTTGATCATAATATGCAGGTCTCTTTTCCCTTTTCTTTTGGTATGAAAAAGAGCAGCTCCACATCATGTTAGGTCAGGAAATGAGCCGTTCTGTATTGAATTGAAACAACAACGCGGTCGTACAAACTGAGGTTGCTTACTGGAAGCAGTGACAAATCTGTTTTCCTGCTTGTGTGAAATCCGAAGCAGAGATTTGGATTGTTTCTGTTTTGGTGATAAATATTCCTGAAGATTTCCTAACACTTGATCAAGGCTTTTGTGCCTGAATAAACTTGGCTGGAGACCAGGGGGCCAAACGTAGTCACGTCTGCTGGATAGTTAGCTTCTATAGGGAAATAGATGTTTAGGAGTGCTGGGGGGAAGGGGAAAAAGCAATGCTCTAATGTCATCAGGAGGCACTGCCATCTTCACCTCTCTTGTTCCTTTAAGCCAAAACCTTGCCAGTACTGCAACATCATCGCAGCGTTCATTGGCAACAAGTGTCAGCGCTGCACAAACTCAGAGAAGAAGTATGGACCTCCCCACTCCTGTGAGCAGTGCAAGCAGCAGTGTGCCTTCGACAGGAAGGATGACAGAAAGAAGGTCAGTATCTCTGTTAAAAGGCTGAAAAGGCAGAGGGGCTGATCGCAGTGGCTCTACCTTCCTCTCACAGATCTCGAGTGTTTCTTTAGGGGATGCCTCTTGACTGTAAAATAGTTTTTGCAGTTGCATTTTGCTTTGGGAGCCGTATTTTGGAGCTGTTTAGCCTTTGTGCCCTTTGCTCCTTTGCCAGATCTTCTGAGAAAGATCTCTTGAATTTGGCATGAGGGCAGGTGAGGGAGCAAAGGAGGTGGGGCCTTTGAGGTGCCTGCAGGGGGAGGGATGGGAGCAGTACTGGTGCTGCAGCCTGAGGTGCTGGAAACGTGTTCCTCCACAGCTGTCCCTTGGCTCCTGCACATCCTTTATTTAAATAACATCAGAGCTTCTTACTTGTGTATTTCTAAAACCTGCTTTCTGCAGGCTATAAAGATCTATTGTCTGTTTGGAATCCTGTCCTCCTGCTGATCCTCCTCCAGCAGAAACTGTGGCTCTTGTGCTCTCCAGTAACTGCCCTGTCATCTGCCAGTCCTTGGCCTTCCTTTGACAGGAACCCCAGTGGAATCGGCCTGTCCTGATGATGTCCTGGGTGTTAAAAGAGTCTGTAAGCAGAGCTGGAAAGAGACTGGAGTTAGGATGAGTTAGCTGCTGTTAATGAGTGCCTTGCACCAGCCATGCCAAGTGGTTTTCTAAGCACTCAAGGGATCCTTTTTGAATTGCTGCTTGTCTGTATGTTGTCTTAAAGCCTGAAGGTGCTTCTTGTCTTCTCTGCTTTGTTTGTGGGCAGGAAGCAAGACAAAAATGTCTCTCTTTCATGCCCTCCAGGTGGATGGAAAGCTGCTCTGCTGGTTATGCACACTGTCCTACAAACGGGTCCTACAGAAGACCAAAGAGCAGTGCAAGCACCTGAGCAGCTCCTCCCGAGCCAGCCTGCAAGAGAAGGAGCAGTACAGCAGGCTGAGCAGCGGCAGCCATTACAACAGGTAGCCTGCACAGGACGCTCTGTCGTGCAGGGCTGAGCAGAGGGGTGAGCAAAGAGCAGCCAGGCTGCTGCACTCAGCTGCCAGGAACGTGGAGCAGCGCCTGGCCCAGCAGCAGCGCCTGGCAGCTGCTCTTGTTGGCTGTAGGCAGCTCAGCCAGCCTCGCTCCTTCGCGGCCGCTTGCCGTGCTGCAGACTTGTGATCTTGTGATCAGACTTGGGGCAGTTCGTAGTGATTCGGCTTCCTGGACTTGTCTGCAGTTAAAGCTGAGTTGGGTCTGTAAAATCTGATGATTGAAATACGGATTTGAAGCACGAGTTCCTCACTGCTGCTGATTGGGCTGACACGTGGCTTTCTGGTCAGTTTCAGTCTCCAGCTGCTCTTCGAGGAGTGAATTTTTAATTGTTCTTTCTTGCACGAAGAAACCTCGTTTTAATAGGCTGGAAGCGGGTGGGAATATGTATTTGCTCCTCTGTCTCTGACTTGAAGTCATTCAGGCTTTGACATACAATTTCCTTGTTTTTCCAGCCAGAAAACCTTATCCACCTCTTCTATTCAGAATGAAATCCCAAAGAAGAAAGCCAAGTTTGATGCCATATCTGCCAATGGTGACAGGTGAGCCTGCTGTCTGGGGAAATTAGGGGTGGGTGGGTGGTCTTGCTTGTTAAGTTTTATACAAGAGTTCTGTGTGAACAGTGGGAAACTTGATGCTTAGAGCAGGGATCTTGGGCTCTGGGACCTCGAGGGGCTGCTTTAGCAGCTTCCAGAATCCAGCAGGCCAACGTTAGTGAGCGCTTAGCTTTGGAAAGGAAAATAACTCCCAGTGCCTGTACCTGTTAGAACAGAAGCTGCTTGTTGGCTGAGCTCCCCAGCAGTTACAAAAACTGCAACCCGATCGACTGCATCCTCCCTGTGCAGCTGCAGGGGAAGGCTGGCTGTTGGCTGCACTGAGCAGGGAGCTGTGTGGTTTTTGTGCTTTCTGGGCTCTCAGACCAACCTACAGGAGATGGCCTCAGAGGAGAGGATCAGAGCCCACCTCCGACTTCCCCTCCTGCCTTCTGGGGGTGGGACAAGCAATCAGGCTTTGCTCGAAAGCAGCCAGTCCCACTCTGCTGTCACAGTTGATGCTGTCTTTGCTGGCTGCACGTGCAGCAGAACGGGAAGCTCTAGCAAAAACAGGAAATTGAGGTGGATTTTATTATTTTTTTTATGCTCTTGTACATGCATATTTTCATTCCTCCCTTTCCTCTCTGATTCTCAGCGTTCCTTCCTCTCCCGAGACGCTTTGCCCCCCTATCCAGAGTGCCCCGTCCACGTTGGCGCAGTGGGCTGCTTCCCAACAGAGTCTCGGTGCCCACCATTGTCCTGTTTCTCAAGGCACTGACATCCTGAAGTGAGATCACCTGTTGTTTTCTCCCCCTCTTTTGCCCTCCCTCCCTGGGAACTGTCTCCCGTGGAACCTTTCCCTCTCCATGGATCTGCTTCCAAACAGCAGTGAGACGGGAGCGTGGTGCAGGCTTCTCAGTGCCCAGGGGTCTGTTAAACCGCTGGTACCTGGAGGTCTTTTCTTCACAGTCACACATCACATCTCTCCTGGAGACACTGCTGATGTCCAGTCAATGTTTGTTAATGCACAGAATGCTGTTATGTGAAATAGAAGGGTTTTATAAGGCAGTGGTTCCCACAGAGCGGCCTGTGAGACCGTTCATCACCTGCACAGAGTTTTCAGTTCAAAGTTGGAAAAAAATCAGACTTCACTGTGGCTTAGGAGCTCCAGTTGAGCATGAGGTGTTCAGAGAATTCAGCTGACTGCTTTTAATGTGGTGGAGCTGGAGGAGAGACTGGAGCCAGATCTGTGCAGCAAGGTGTGGCCATCAGGACTGCTTTCCCTCTGGAGCCCTGCTGGCCCCCTGCTCCCTCCTGAGGCTGCAGTCCGGGCTGTGGGACAGGACCAGGTGATTTCACCTGCTTGCTAAAGCCTGGGGTGAGACAAATCCACCTCTGGCTTGAAAACATCCACGTCCTGTGCTCTGTCATCAGTTGCTCAGTCATTTGTGTGCAGTCAGGAGCGTGCATTAGAAGAATCAAATGCCTTTATTTCTATTTGCTTGTGTCAGATGCTGTCAGTGTGGCTGCTCTCCTTGCCACAAACTTTTTTTGATGAATCCCAGTAACAAACTGTGTGTAATTTTAGCAGCTCCTAAAGAGCTCCAGCAACGTGCTGTGGAAAATGCTGCAGCTGCCTGAAATAGATCCATGGCTGGATTTCTTGAGAGGAATAACAATGGTGCTTCAGTGCATTTGTGGAGCTGCAGAGGACGAAGCCCCCGGCAGCCCCCATCCCTGCACCATTTTCTGTGAGGGTTTCCACCCCTCAGCCCTCCTGGAGCTGCAGGCTGGGTGTGGAGCTTGGAGCTGGCTGTGTTAACAGCACCTCTCCCTGCTGCACCTTTCTTCCAGTCTCAGCTTCTGGCCCCAGCCAAACTTGGGCAGCCTTCAGCCAGGCAAAATGTGGGCACGCCTGGGCTCTTTCCTATGGTGATGCCCTCAGCAAGGTCCAGCTTACCCCAGATTGTTGCTCCTTCATGGATGCAATGGGAATTTCTGTTCTGTGCCCTGCTGAACTGCCTCTGAGCTCTGTGTTCTCGTGTTGCTGAGCAGAGGATGCTCTCAGTGCCTGCGTTCAGGGGGCTGAGCTTTTTGCAGCAGTCCTTTAACGAGCAGCTTTGTGTGATTCTGGGTGGGCTCTGAGAGGAGCCCTGCCTCACGCACAGCAATGTTTCCCCAGCAGCAGCTCTGGGTGCAGCTCCCAGCAGATCCTGCCTTGCAGACCTTGCTGCACAATCATCTCAGCCCCTCATGCTGGATCCTGAATGGACTTTTGAGAACTGAGAGTATTTTTGTCACAGGTGATGTTTGGATGCTGCTTCGGTCAGCTTGCATTGTGCCCCTTGAATAGCAGAACCTTTAAGCTTGGCATTTATTTTGCCTAATTTAATTCATTTAGCAGGTGTTGAGTGTGAAGCAGCCAGTTTGCATTCTGTTCCACTCAATGGAAAGAGGCAGGTGCCGTTGGAAGGGCTCCATTTTTAACTCCATCTCCAACGAAAGCAATGGGAGCTCATCAATTTGCTTTAATTAGAGGCGTGAATTTTAGGCTGCTCACACGTGGAGGGCACACAGCCATCCTCTGGCCTCTCCCAAAGGGCTACAACCCCGGTGATGGAGTTCAGCTATAGAGAGAATGTGCTTGGGCTCTGTTAGTTGATTTAATTTTTAATCTGAGAGCTAAAACAGGGGAGAGAGGTGCTTCTGGCATTTTTCCTCCTGCTCTGCAGGAGGCTGGTGGCCTTCCTGTCCCTTCTCTCCACTGGGTGGCAGGGCCACTCTCACTCCCTGCAGCAGAAGCTGCCCGGAACAAACTGTTCCTGTCTGAGCTGCTCAGGGAAACGTGAGCATCTCCCAGCTCTCTGCATCACCCCGGGCCATGGCAGCAGGGAGGCTTGCCTGGGCAAGGGATTGGTGCAAGCCAGAGTTTGTTTGGGGCCAGAAGAATTCAGTGAGGATGAGTTGAGGGCAGCCTCTGTGCAGGCTGCTTTTTTCATTTCGTTTTTTTTCCTTCCCCTCCTTTTTCTTCTCCCTTTGCACTGAGAAGGATATGAAAGCTGTTAGAAAGGCACTGCAGCACCCACATCATGCCGCAGAGCTCTGCTTTCAGGGAGCTGCACTCAGGTGTGGTTTCAGAACAGAGGTGCAGCCTGCATGAAGGGACACCTGCATTCAGGAGCTGCAGTGTGACAAAGCCAGAGACCTGCAGCATCCTCACAGAGCACACTGCTGGCAGCATGCTGCAGCTGTGCAAAGCAAGCTGTCCCCTGCAGACAGCTCTCCCCAGCTCTGGCTTTCCCTTTGCCAAGCTTCCTCTCAGAGCTGCAGGGCTGACCCGTGGCTTTCAGGTGGGTGAAACTGCTGCCCGTGCTCGGTTCCCCTCTGTAAACCCCCTGCGCAGAGATTCTCTGCTACATTCTTGCTTTCCAATCCAATCAGCGTAGGCTGTGCTTTTGATTGGAAAACAGATTCTTTCCAGCCTCTGTGCAAGCAGCCAGTGCTCCATCCTGCTGCACAGCTGGGGATTGGGAGCCTGGAGCTGCTGGAGAGGCAGCGCTGGGGGAGCTGCGTTTGCCTTCAGACACACAGTGCCCCCCTGCAGGCGCTGCAGCTCCCAGTGTTAGTGCTGAGCAGGAGCTTCAGGACGGCTGTTGATCTGCTCTGGAGGTGTGCAGAAAATGTCAGCGTTCAGGTGTTCAGGTATGGGGGCTGTTTGCAGCTGCCTGACAGCGGGCAGACTTTAGGTCACCTTTGAGGTGGAACCTTGTTGTCGCTTTTATTGCTGGTACGTTTTTATACGCAGCAATTTGGAGCGTGTGGGGCTGGGAGCGTGCTGCCCTTTTAGCACCACGAGATAAAAATCCAGCTTACCCTTACAGCAGTGGGGAACAAAAGGCAGCCAAAGATCAGGTGAGCTCTCTGGGCCTGTGGCTGCAGCTTATCATATCTCATGTTCTGAAATGCAGCTGTAGTGCGGCGCTGTGGATGGCTGCCCTGATTGCTGGGTGTCTGACAGGGAGATGTGTGGATTACCTTTGCAGGGTGATTTACATCCAGATGGCTTTTCAGCTGTTGCTTAAGTTTAGCCTAGGCTGTTTCTGAGCAGGTCCTCAGCTATTTCTGTCTTCCTGGCGATAGTCCTTGCTGCTCTGCAGTGGTAACAAAGCTTCTCCCTACATTCTGTATCACGGAGGAATCAAAATACAAAAGTCCAGTGTGTCTTCTTCCCCTTTTCCCCGCTGAGGACAGCGCTGACTTTCATCTAGGTGTCTGTTTTGGCTTTGTTTGTTTAACTTGGAGGTTGTTTGTTTCTCTTTCTTGTTCCCTCCTTGCCAACGTGTTTGTTTACATTGAGTGAAAAGTTTTGCTGGACATCCAAGGACTGCCTGCGAGCAAAGAGAGTTCCTGAGTGGTTACGTAAAGTGTCATGAGCTCTCTGATTGCTGTCCTCAGCTCTTTGGTTTGAAAATAGATCACTGCCATTTGATTGCTGCTGATGCCAACTGATGTGCACCCGTAGCAGCCCTGTGTCCCCGCTGATTGGGCACGAATACAACTCGGTTTATCACACTGCTGCCCAGTTTTGTGTGTGCTCCCCACATTCCCTGTGGCGTTCAGGGCAGGGGTGCAGGTAACGCTCCAGACCTTGCAGGGCGCAGTGCGTGTCCTGGAGCAGCTCCCTTTCTTCTTTGGGTGCCATCTGTGTGGGGATTCCTCCACCTCGGTGCCCAGAAGGGGTTGTGATGAGAGCCATTCCCTGTTCTCTGCTGCAGTTTTTCTCCTGACCTCGCCCTGGACTCTCCTGGCACCGACCACTTCGTTATCATTGCCCAGCTGAAGGAGGAGGTGGCCACCTTGAAGAAGATGCTGCACCAGAAAGATCAGATGATTTTGGAGAAGGAGAAGAAGGTACAGCCCTTGGCTTGCTTCCCCCACGCCCAGCATGCTGGCAGCTGGCACATCACACACATCACACTCAAACCAAGTCTGGCTTTTCATACCGTAGTCAGCAGAAGGCTTTCTGGCTGCTTCCAGGCTGCCCCCTTTCCAAAGCTGAAGAGGCTTTCAGGACCCACGTGGGGGAAACTCATGTCAGAAAGGGTCATTTTCCACCCATTCTCTCTCATACCTCCATGGGGGGGCAAGTCCCAGAGAGCACCTACAGCTCTGTGCGGAGCGAGAGCAGCACCCAGGGTGCTCCTGCTGCTCTGTGCAGCTCTGTGATGCAGTGTTGCTCCTGTTGCTCTCCCCCTCCTGCATTGGTGTGTTTCCAAACTCATCTGGTCTCAGGCAACTTCTCTAGAGGCACTTTTCTGTGGCACATGGGGTGAGAGCAGCCGCTTCTTCCCTCTCATGCTCTCTTTGTTGGTGCGTCTGCAGATCACAGAGCTGAAGGCTGACTTGCAGTACCAGGAGTCACAGATGAGAGCAAAGATGAACCAAATGGAGAAGACTCACAAGGAGGTCATGGAGCAGTTACAGGTGACAGCATTTTTGTTTTAATTTGCTGAGCTGTGCTGCACCCAGGAGTGACTGAGGACACTCCTATGGGAACAAGCCATGAACCTTGGCACGCACAGCTCTGCTCGTGCTCCTCAGCCCTGTCCTCCAGCCTCTGCTCTGCCTGGCAAGCCGTCCCCCAGCTCTGCACCAGGCTGCAGTGCCTTGCACCCCCTGTTCCGTCCTTCTTGCTCTACTTGGGCTCAGCCTCACTGCACTGTGAAGCGCTGCCTCGTGTCCCCCACGGGCTAGATGGGAGCTGTCAAACTCCTTTGACTTATTGCCAAAATCAGGTTTAAACCTGTTCCTCCAGACCGTAGAACCTTTGTCAGCTCCTCACACCACGTAGCTCTCGGTGTGATTGATGGGCCCAGTAACCAAAGGGAACAAAGATCGAGAAACAACTGGCGGTTTCTTCAGGGCTGTATCTGTAGTCCAAATAAAGAAGTCCCTGAGCTGGAGGGAACAGGGAGAGCAGGATTCTTGTCACGGCCGTGGAAAGGCCAGGCAGACTATCAGCATGAATACCCTGCACTGAGGAGACGGGGTCAAAGGGGAGCTGGTTATGGGGAAGAAGGCAGACTTAGAAATGAACTTTGCACCCCTTTAATTAGCCCGGGGTTTACAGTGATCGAAAGCCCTTGCAATGAGGGGTGGGAGGGGATGAGACAACAGACTTATGCTCCTGCCTCCCCTCCTCCGTCAGCACACACCCAAGTTAATGATTGCAGAAGATGACGGGTTTTGGAGGCTGCAGTTTTTGTCAGAAAGGCGTCCATCACAGCCACCCTGCGGAGCAGTGGAAGCCTGGGATATCTGATGGTGTGCAGGGGGTGGGTTGTGCCTCAGGGGCTGATGGCAGCCAAAGCCCTGGGTCTGTGTTCTGCTTCTGTGATCCTGCACTGCCCGCTTCAGCCTCGAGCTGCTCCTATCCCAGATCTTTGGGTGGCCTGCGAAGGACGACCTGCTGTTCTGAGCAGACCCTTTTCCCCTGGCTCAAACCCCCCCGTTCTGATTGCCTCCCCAGCTGGGAGGTGGCCTCCATCCTTGCAGTGGTTTCCCAAGACAGGGCAGCCCGGTCACTGTGTGTATGGGAGGAGTCTGTCTGTCATGAAAGCTGTCAGACACCTGCCAGCAGCTTTAAACTTGCTCAGTTCTGAACAGAAAGAGGAAGCATCAGCTCCACAAGTGGGTTTGCCACCCTGCTCTGCTGGGTGCGTGTCCCCATGGTGCTGTCCTGTCCTTACTTGGTGCCCCGACCTCCTCCTTTCTGCTGTCTGAATGTTCTACTTCAGCTGCTATTGACTGAGGCTCTGGAAACTTTCCTCACTGATTCCAAAATAAAAGTTCAAATCATCTTGGTGTGCTGTAGGTGCCTCAAAGTGTTCGAATCATTCGCTTTCTGAATGTGCTCCTGGTTTATTTTTCATGGGGGGGGGGGAAGCAGGGGGTCTGTGTCCTTCCATGTAGGAGGCAAAAGAAGCTGCTTTACCTCATGCAGCACTAGAGCTGAGGGTTTAATTGCTGTGATGATGTTTGCACGTCCAGCCATTCACTGCAAACCAGTGCAGAAGGGCCGTACCTGGTTTTTGCATGGGTTCTCCCCTTATCCTGCTGAAATTACTGTATAGGCTGCAGGGGGGTGAGCTCAGGAGTTTGGTCAGAGAGGCTGAAGAGTCTTGCTTGTAAGTTGCCGTCATTTTTATTTTGTTTCAAATGAGGCAGGGTCGTGTTTTGGTGCTCTGATGTGTTCAGGAGGTTCTCGTGGGGATGCAGCCAGCGCAGCGCCCAGTCCTGGTAGAACATTGGCAGCATCTGAGGGTGAAGCTGGAGAGCAGAGCGAGCTCTTCCTCCTGCCCTCTGATGTGGGTGAGAGACAGGAGACGTTTGCCTTTGACTTTGAAGTGAGAGTCGAGATGGGAGCTTGAGTCACTGGTGCTTTTCTGCACCACCTCTTGCAGTGCCTGATGGAAAGGGAAGGAAGGAAGGGAAGGCGGCCCTGCTGCCCTTGCTGCGTGTCCTTGGCTGGCTCCATGCGTTTGGCACATCGCTCTGTGGAAGCTGTTGAGGTCCAGCCCACGTCTCAGTTACAGCGGGGGGATGTGAGGGGGGTGGGGGGTGGGCAGAGCCCTTGCTGAGCGCAGCAGGGAGGTTCTGTGCTGTGGTGCCGCACAGCAGCGCCTCGCTGCTTCCCCCCCTGCCAGCACTTCTGTCCAGGCCTCGCTGGACCCCGAGAGCTGATGGCGATCCCTTCAATTAAATTCCCATTTTCACTGTGTTTTCAGGCCAAGAACAGAGAACTCCTGAAGCAAGCAGCTGCCCTATCCAAGGGCAAAAAACCTGAGAAGTCAGGAGCAATAACCTCCCCTTAAAACCAAACCCCCAGTGTGGGAGCTTTCCCCAGCATTAGCCAAGGAGTCTAGGAGGCCTGCCTGACCGCTGGAAGCCAAAACCTCCGTGCTGTCACTATCCCACTGCTGTGGACTCGATGGAAACGCCTGGGGTGTGTTGCCTTTCGACAGCATGCTTGAGTGTGTCTGGTCTCTGAACTCTGTTCTGTCTCATGGCGCTCCGTGGGAGAGGTCCCAGCACCCCGAAGCTCCGCTGACTGGAAGGACTGAGCAGCTGCTACCACTGCCAACTCTTTGTATTAGCAAACAGGAACCTGCTGCATTACAGACTGCTTGCTGGTTTCAGACCTGCTGCTGTGAGGCAATAGCCATGGCCAGTCGTCCTGCAGATGAGACGGGAGCTGTGAGGTGGGGGCTTCATTCCTCTGGACTGTTCCCTCTCGGAAAGGAAGCCGATGCATCACCAGCCCAGCAGCTGTTCTGGAAAGCTGCGCCACTGCTGGGAACGGTTCGTCCATCCTTTGAGAAGGCTTCCAAGATGGGGGCTGTGTATTTATCTGGGAGGGTTGGGGGGGGGGGGGGGGGGGGGGGGGTTTTTTCTTTTTTTTTTTTTCCCCCCCCTCTTTTATTTTTCCGACGTCAGCTTGACAAACAAACCACGGGGTTGTTGTTTT